GCTAGCCCAGGATAGAGAAAGGTGGAAGGTGTTTGTCCGTGGCCTATACCCTGGTGCAGGGTGAGAAAGGCAGTGATGATGGCGACAGTTACACCAAAGGTCGTGGAGTAGAGAATCTTTGGTGACACGGTCGGTCTGTTCTCCGCTTTCACTTTATCCGATTTCCCCATGAAACCAGTTCATTTTATCCTCTATTTTTTTACATAATTAAACAAATAGCGTTTCAATCAGGACCACAGAATATCGTGTTCACTTTAACTTTAACTGATTGTTCAAATAAAGCGTGTTCACTTTAGTCGGACTCCACTGTATTTGTAGAGTTCTTTGTTGACAAACCGCGTGACAGGTCCACACACACGCACATTTACATTTCTTTTTTTTTTCTCCCCAGAAAAAGAATACATATGAAGGACGAGATTGGGACCCTGAATGAGAAATATTTATTCCACGGTACCCAGATGGAAAATTTTGAAAAAATCTACAAGGAAGGTTTTGACATCCGGGTTCCAACAAAGAATGGGGCATGTTTTGGAAAAGGTATGAGTGCTGTTTTTATGGGCATTTTATAGCCCCCGAAAAGCCTAGCAGTCTTAACCTTATCCATACGTCAAGTTTTACAATCGTATCTATACGACATGGGGAACTCTGTCCCACCACTTTTCAAAGAGGAAATTTACTCATTAATCCGATCCGTACGCTTTGCGTAGCAGTCTGTCAAAATGATTTTTTGAAAAATACTGAAAGTTTCAAAGAGATCTTCGTACTAGAAGTATAGTAAAATGTGAATACAACCCCGGGGGTACAAAATGACCTCTCAGCTGTTTCTTGAAACGGAAAATTGTAAGAGAGAATAAATTATACTTGCGACAGACTTCTTCTTCTATGTTCTGCACAGAATGATCAGCAAGCCTCCTTTTCCTTCACTGAGAAATTATTTAGTGCTTCCCACACTTTGAGAAAACCAGGCATATATGCAAAGTAGTTCTCAAACCATTGGTGAGGCAGCGTGGTGGAATCAGGCACTCGTCAATTTTTGGGCATATTGAGTTATTGGTATCATCTTAAAGCTTGTTCATTTGTCTTGCTTTCAATGAAAATATTACCCATCCATCTGTTATAGAAGTGGAAATATTTTGGATTGAAGGAGGTGGGAGTCACCTGATTTAATAGGTAAAATTAGCGAGAAAATGGCCGCCAAAGCTTGGTAAATTCCAAAGCTGGAGAGACCATGAAAACTGTAAATTTATATTTTTGCGCCTTTAATCAACGTTCTCGGTGAAATCCTCAAAGGAATGTGTTTGTAAATGGACATAAAAGTTGTTGAGCCAAAAAACAAAAATTTGATAACAATTGCTAAGCAGGGAGAAAACTGCTGTTTTCTTCAATTTCATTATTTTGACGAGCGCCTGATTCCACCACGCTGCCTCACATTTGTGTGCGTTTGTGTATGTGTGTGCGTGTGTGTGTGTGAGTATGTGTGTGTGTGTGCATGCCTGACAAAAAGGTCCCAGTTGTCGGCAAAGCTATCCTTGAGTAACGAGGTGAAAAGGCTAAAAAAGTTGTTCCTTGCCTAAGAATTTAGTACCATCAGAAAACCCAAATTAAACCATTTTTTAATAACGTATTGAAAGGATTTTATAATATTTTAAGTCTAAATTATATTTTTTTCGCTTATTATTTTTGCAACGTGTATTTCACCAAAGGTAAAAAAAATGTGTTAGAAATTGGGTCAACATCTTTTATGGAAAAGCCGTTTTTTGTCCAAACTTTGTTTTTACTCCCTGTATCACAAAATGTGGCAAGTCTTTAAAACTGCTCAAGATACTTGAGAAATTTAAAAATCAGCTTATTCAGCACTGAATTTGCTACTAGATCTAGAATAAGCTGTTATTTCCATATCCAAAATTTCCGACAAATGGGACCTTTCTCCAGGCACACACATTTCAGGAATGACTGCACAGCCTTATAATTGGTCGCTTAGAAAGACAAGCGGGCTAACCCAGATTTGGGGGGAGGGGGGGCGGGGGTTCCAGAAATCCTGACCTACACCAGAAATGCGTATTGCCCTACCTATAGGAGAAGTTTGGTTTCATTGGTGTGTATTTTTGTTTGGTATTAGAGAAAACTCTCCTTGTCTTGTAAAGAAACTGAACAAGGGTTAAAAAACTTTACCTTCGATTTTCTCAAAAATGCATTTTTCAGGATAGCCCCCTTGTGTTTAAAAGCGACCAAATTCAGAGCTGCCGAATACTCTGATGGAATCAAATCTCTATCAGATTTTTTTTTGTGTCTAAGATCAGACTTGCATAAGATCCTGGATTTTTTTTTTCTTGAATTCCGTTGGGGTCAGGTTGTATGCAACTTATCTTAAATGACGTGAAAATACTCATTTATGCTCGTGTTTATTTGCAATATTTGTGCGACTTATTGTAAGGGAATTGAAAAATTTATGCAGTTGCAAATGCCATAAAAGTTTACTAAAAGAATTGAAAAATACATAATACATAATTTTTATTTGCAATACATGTTCCTTTGAAATGGTCGTTTTTTACTGTTATCTAAATAACACTTTTAAAGTTCTGGAGACTCACATTTTTTTATTCCGAAACTCGTATTTTTTGTCAGCATTCTGATAGAAAACTTCTGCTTTTGATCATGGCGTTTTCGTCTAATTGAGGGACAGCTGCTTCTCATATCTGTATTTCTCTCTCTCCCCCCCGCCCCATCCTTTTTCCCGGCAGGTATTTACTTCGCGACATCACCGCGTCTGTCCATGCGTTACGCCAATACAGGTAAGGCGATGTTCATTGCTCGGGTGCTGTGTGGCTGGTCGACTGTGGGCAAGAACACGTTCACTCGGCCGCCCCACCACAAGTCGGGCCGGATGTACGACAGCTGTGTGGATGCGCTGGAGCAGCCCAATCTCTTTGTGTTGTACGACAACGCCCAGTGCTACCCGGAGATTGTCGTGGAGTTTTGAAGAAACTTGACAAATGAGAGAACCACAGTTTGCTGTTTTGACTACTCTA